GATAGCTGGAGACTAGAATAATAGACTCTGGTCATTCTTTTATATAAATATACGTACAAAGACAGTTGACCTTGAGGAGTTGGTACGTCATATTATTTTAATTGAAATTACATTTTTATTTTCAGTGGGCCCAGCCAAAGGGATGAAATACTTCTGGATCACTGATTCATGCCCTCTCACCGTCAAAGAGGTCAAAGGCATCCCTCCTTTTGAAGTTCTTAGCCTTGCGGGCTCCATTGCTGATGCTCTTCAGGTATAGCTACACGAAAGCCGAGCAGCATTTGTCAGCTTTAAAGTTCGTGCTATTACTCATTCCTATGTAAACTAAATATTCATACGCATCATGTAATTGCACAAAAGTTCTTGGTTCTTATAAATCATTTCTGTAGCTTTGTATGCAGAAATTCATGCGGTATACGATCTTCACCGTCAATCATCTTTTTTTTTTTTAAATAAAAAATAAAAATAGGGCCCACCGAAATACCCCTTGCCCTGATGAACGGTGGAGATTAGACAGCATATGCATTTCTGCATATGCTGTCCGTATCGAATTATTTTTCCAACGATGAATAGTTTCTTATATAACTATTTGTTAAAATATAAGCTAAATGTAATGTTTTTGTGATTTGAACACTAGGGTGATGTATTTGTAAATATAATATTTAGTTGCTAGGTGTGTAATTGCCTTTTGCCATTTAAATGTCTTCAAAATAAAATGTAGATGTTCTCTAGAAAATTTTTTTAATTTTTAATATCAAGATCACTTGTGCCAATTGTTGTTACTAGAGCTGTAAACGAGCCGAGATTGAGCGAGCTCAGGCTTAGTTCGTGTTTGGCTCGTTCGAAAAAACTCGTGTTCGAAATTGACTCATGAATAGTGTGTTCATGTTCGGCTCGAAATTGACTCGTAAAAATTAAATTGGAAAAAAATAGATGTGAAGTGTGAGATTCGAACGTGGATTAAATGCATACAAAAGAAGGTATTAACCACAATACCACACGAGCTGTTATAATTTAAACTTAGGTATAAGTATATGTAATATATAATTATATAAATAATACACGTAATATATTATCATATAAATAATTATATAATTTTCTTACATCGAGCTAAAATGAGCCGAACACGAGCGAACGAAGAGTTGTTCGTGTTCGGCTTGTTTACAATTCGAGCTTCAAAAACTTCTTGTGTTCGGCTCGTTTACTTAACGAACGAGTCAAACACGAGCTACATATTAAAACACGAGCTAAATATTGAGCCGAACACGAGCTGTTCGCGAACAACGAGCGTTTTTGACTGCCCTAGTTGTACCACCATATATATGAAAAAATAATTATATTTTTATTTTTGTTGTGGACTAATCTGTAATAATTTGGGTTGGATCTAAATGAATCATAACGATAGATGCCATGCTATCACATATAATACCTATGAATTAAAATCTTCTATAAAGGATTTTACACATTGTTTGACCCTTGTCTTCCTCCCTCTTCCTCCCAACCGCCTTCAAATGATTCAGCTCTTCTAAATTTGTAAATTTGTTTTTTAATAGGGTTTACTAAATCCTAAAAATTTGAAAACACATTCCTCGGCATTTGGTTATCACGTCACGGCGGCGTTTCTTAAGAACATTGTAAAAATGCGACCGCGCCTCTCTCGACCCTCTCCCTCGATTCTTCTGTCCTTGGTGGATACCCTACGTGGATTCATGGCTCCGACAACTATTCTCGGTTGTGAGTGGGTATTCCGGTGGCGCTTTACAATCAGTCTTCTTCCTCCCCCGCTCTTTCCTAGCACTCTGATTTTTGGAGATGGTTCTTATAAATCATTTCTGTAGCTTTGTATGCAAAAATTCATACGTTGTACGATCTTCACCGTCAATCATCCTTTTTTTTTAAATAAAAAATAAAAATGGGGCCCACCGAAATACCCCCTTGCCCTGATGAACGGTGGAGATTAGACAGCGTATGCATTTCTGCATATATTGTCCGTATGGAATTATTTTTCCAACGATGGATAGTTTCTTATATAACTATTTGTTAAAATATAAGCTAAATGTAATGTTTATGTGATTTGAACACTAGGGTGATATATTTGTAAATATAATATTTAGTTGCTAGATATGTAATTGCCTTTTGCCATTTAAATGTTTTCAAAATAAAATGTAGATGTTCTCTAGTTTTTTTTTTTTTTTTAATTTTTAATATCAAGATCACTTGTGCCAATTGTTGTTACTAGAGCCGTAAACGAACCGAGAGCGAGCTCAGGTTTAGTTCGTGTTTGGCTCGTACGAAATCAGCTCGTGTTCGAAATTGACTCGTGAATAGTGTGTTCATGTTCGGCTCGAAATTGACTCGTAAAAATTAAATTGGAAAAAAATAGATGTGAAGTGTGAGATTCGAATGTGGACCAAATGTATACAAAAGAAGGTATTAATCACAATACTACACGAGTTGTTATAATTTAAACTTAGATATAAATATATATAATATATAATTATATAAATAATACACGTAATATTTTTTCATATAAATAATTATATAATTTTTTTATATCGAGCTAAAACAAGCCGAACACGAGCGAACTAAGATCTGTCCGTGTTCGGCTCGTTTACAATTCGAGCTTCAAAAACTTCTCGTGTTCGACTCGTTTACTTAACGAACGAGCCAAATACAAGCTACATAATAAGCCGAATACGAACAGTTCGCGAACAACGCTTGCGTTTTAGACCGCCCTAGTTGTTACCACCATATATAACAAAAAAAATAATTTTACATTTCAACCCAATTTAAGATTCTAGCAGCAAAGTCCACTTTAACAAAAAAAATTATATTGATTGCACCAATGTGGTGCAATTATATTTTTATTTTTGTTGTGGACTAATCTGTAATAATTTGGGTTGGATCTAAATGAATCATAACGATAGATGCCATGCTATCACATATAATACCTATGAATTAAAATCTTCTATAAAGGATTTTACACATTGTTTGACCCTTGTCTTCCTCCCTCTTCCTCCCAACCGCCTTCAAATGATTCAGCTCTTCTAAATTTGTAAATTTGTTTTTTAATAGGGTTTACTAAATCCTAAAAATTTGAAAACACATTCCTCGGCGTTTGGTTATCATGTCGCGGCGGCGTTTCTTAAAAAGATCGTAAAAATGCGACTGCGGGTTCGACCTTACAGCCCGCATTTATGCCCCCCTCACCTGCGGGTAATTTTATGCCGCGACCTCCTCTCTCGACCCTCTTCCTCTCCCTCTCCCGCGATTCTTCTGTCGTTGGTGGATACCCTCCGTGGATTCATGGCTCTGACAATTATTCTCTGTTGTAAGTGGGTATTCCGATGACGCTTTACTGTCAGCCTTCTTCCTCCCCCGCTCTTTCCTAGCACTCCGATTTTGGAGGGATCTATTCATCCATTCATCTCGAGTGGTGTCACCTCATATCACATGCCCTTGAGCGCCGAAATCTCTGGTACAGATCCATGAGCAAATGATGAGATTCGATTGTCTATAACGATGTGGAGATTTGTCGATCATCAAAATATATTATATATTTTCAATTTATAAAATAAATTTTAATAGTTATTTAGATTAGTTTTTAGAATAAGATTTCTAACTCCTTTATTTCAGTTCGAGTTGGAGCATCTTATATCCTATAAAATAATTAGAGATTAATTGAGAAAAAAAAGGCATGGAATGAGAAATTTAGAACTGATGATTTTGCCCACATTTTTAGTATTTTGTAAAATTCAATGAGTTATGAAACTTGCACAAGCCCATGAAATTTGAATGACAATATATAATATAAATTTGAATTACATATTTTAACTAAGTAATGTTTCAATTACATTGGAGGCCCAATTTTATTCCATCTTTTTTCTTTTAAGAACATTTGTCATCAAATGCCTTTGTCCATCATAATGAGTGAATTAGTAGCACTTTTGACGCTGTAATAGTAAGCTAATTATCTCTTATAACTTTATTTTGAAATATGTTTAGGGTAATAATAGTCTATTAAGGGTGTGTTTTGGGTGGGGGCGGTGTGGTGCCGTACCACAATTTTTTATGTTTAGCAAAATTGTGTTTTGTCTGCATTCTCAAAAAACTGTATTTAAAAGTTACGTTTTCCCATCAGATTTGACTATCTATGATAACTGCTAGAAAGCTGAGGTTTGTCTTAAGAAAAAAATCGTAATAGCCTCCACAACTTTTTAAAAAATATAATCTTCTTCAGTAGTTTCACAATTGTTTCTTCAAATAGCTGCAGCTGCCCCAAACAGAGCCTTACTCTTGAAATCTCTATTAAATTGAATTTATTTTGCCTGATTTTGTTGGAAATGATTATATACAAGACATTCTTAGTTTGGATTATTCTTTTTATAAAAATCACATATAAGAGCTTAAATACAATTTTAGTTTAATAAAATATAATTGCATTTAAAATAAAAAATTGAACCTAGTTAAAAATAACTAAAATGTAAACTAATGTCAGAAATTGAGTAAATAAGAATTCAATGGTTTTTTTTGTTACCAAGAATAATTCAAGTTAATTTTTTTTAATCATTTAATTAAAGTTTAATTTATATGTAGAAGGCCCACAAATAGAAACCAATCACAAACATTTCTCAAAAATTAATTATATATTTCATCAAACAAGTTTACTACATTTTGCATAAACTAAGGGTCCGTTTGGGGCAGCTTGTGAAACGACGCGCGGCCCGTGTTTCATTTAAAAACCCAAACACAATTTCGGATAAACTAGTGAAACGCGCGAATCAAAAGGTACGGCCCGTTTTCAAAACGCCACCTACACTTATAAACTACCCCAAACGGACCCTAAGTTTCATCCAAAGTCATTAATCAAGAGGAATCATAATTTCTAAATGAGTTTCAAAGAACATCCCTATCTTATTACATTTTCATTGTAAATGAATCTTGTGCTAACAAGCAAAATCATGATTATATTTCAACACATCATGCCCAAAATAGCAGGAAACTGAGAAGAATACTTTATTTATAACAATGCCTACATTTCGAATTATATGACATAAAATGGAAAAAACAAACTGTTATTTTCTTCATATTTAACAGTCTATGCTAGCATAAATCAGGCAGGAAATACAAAATAGACACTTAACAACTCTTTCATATTGCTCAACAGTTGACATAAACAGCAAACACTCTGAAGAACAATGCGCAGTTGGATCCAATTAAAAAAGTTAATTTTGGCTGCTGCTAATCCAGCAGAACAATGAAGCTTCTTCATCTTTCAACTTTAGTTGGCTTATCAAATGCCATTCTTTTGTTCAATTTGTATCTTACCATTCTGAGGATCTTGTAGAACCAGAAAGCACTCACCAGCTGCAACCCCAATGCCATCATCTGATGAAAACAAAAAACAAGTATTATGTTCCAATCTGACTTAAGGGTGCGTTTGAGACAGCTTGTGCTTATCCGGAAACGCAGACCGCGGGTTCAATCTGCGTTCCTCGTTTATTGTAAAAAATAAACTGAGTTTTCAGATAAGCTCCTCAAATGCAGTTTCCAAGCGGATAAGCTGCCCAGAACGGTTGAAAATCTCATAAAATTCTATAGTTTCATATGTCAATATTCTAAGTTCCCTCTCTTCTCAACTCTTCTCTGCATCTCCTCTCTCTTCCTCTAATATTCTAAGTTGCCTTCAGAACAACATAAAGAGTACAATAAGAAAATCTGAAAGGAAAAATGGCCCAAGTCATGGGTCCGGATTTGTACCTTGACAAGAATGGGATTCTCTGCCGTCAAAGTTAAGTAAGTGAGGTATGGTCCTCCAACCATTCTTGCCAGGGAGAAGATGACTGCAAAGAGAATCTGCAACAAAAATAGAAAAACTCACTCTCTTGATATCCAAAAGAAACTAAAACCATACTATTTTATTCATGATACTTACATCAAATGCTAAATTAAGGTCTGTATCTTTGCAACCCAGTTCTTTAAGAATCTCCCTCATGTGCAAAAAAGGACTGGATATCTCAGTGATCCATAAGGTAGCAACCATTTCAGATCCACACTTGAAATTATACAAAAAAAAAAAAAAAAGAATAATGAAAAAGCACACAACCAACTAAAAATTAGACCAGATAGAGATTCATTTCTGATGTTGATCTAATTGATCCCATACTCTTTCATAGACAAGGCCTGATCCAATGCCAACTATGCTTATGGCATGATGCACCGTGTTGTCGATACTCGCTTGTTTCTCGAATTGGCAGCAAACCAAATCATAGATCAGATATGAAAGAGAGACTGCTAGTATTTTCATCTGCATCAAGTTGTGATGTCAGTCTTCAAAATTTGCTTCTATACTATAAGCATTGTGGTTTATTTTGTTGGAAATAAATGATATGAAAATCTACAAACTTCAATTTTAATGCCAATCAGCACATATTGAAGATTCAATATTGCTTATTAAAAGTATTTGGCTTCTAAAAGCTCTCTCCAAGCATGAATAAGTGTTCTAACAAACTGAAATCTTCTGAAAGTTGAATTTTTTCAAAAATATTGAAGATTCACTACCTGTAAGTGAGAAGATTTTGATGCCAGAGGGCAAACTGGACAGCTCCAATCCTGCACGGAAGTGATAGACAATGAGACAGCAAGCAGGGCATGGATTGTGGAGACGATTCTGTTGCAGAAGTTGAAGGAAGAGCTCCTCTAACGATTATGAAAGTTGTAGCCCAAAAAACAACTCCAGAAAAAATCCAGTTCAGTATGTAATCCTCCATCTAATTTGAGCTTTCAGGAAACAGATGGTGCTGCTGCTAAAAAGAAAAGGCTGTTTTAATATTGCTTAATTAATTTTGGCATTAACTGAGATATAGTATAGATTTCATATTTTTTTAATGTATAAATTAAAATAATTCATTAATAATTTGAATGTCCAGGTAGATAGCCGTTGGCCACCAAGCCCTTCTTAATGGAAGTCGCTGAACAACCATTGAATGCAATACTTGTCATTATTCAATAAACTGTTCATATACAATTATTGCCTCTCAGCCCTCTTCAAATCCTTTATATTCTTTAGAAAAGTGGAGAATTAAAGAAATGCAAATAAACATTCTTACAAGCAAATCAAATAAACATGGGAAGACATCGGATGTTGAGACCCAATAAAGAGTCTGTTTGGCGCAGTTGCGCTATCTCAGAAAGCAGCTGGAGCTGACAATCTGTTTGGTGCAGCTGTGAGACAGCTGTTTCTGAAAAAAAAAGACCATGTTGCCCCTGTTTGTTAAAATTGTTCATAAATTTTATATATTAAATTGATTAATATATGTAAATATATAAAAGTAATGTTGCGGCCCGCTTTCTGTCCGTTTCCCGAAATTTGTGTCACATAGTTACGAACCAAACAGTAAATTTTTGCCAAAAGTTGCGGCAAATGACCGCACCGCACCTATAAAGTCCTCCCAAACAGACCCAAAATCTCCTATTGAGGCTCCATTCAGAAAACTTGAATCAACTAAGGAACTCTTAAATCAAAACAACAATGACAGGATCGAGAAAGCCATCAACCAATCAACACCACATGGGTGAACTCGAGGAGAAATTATTCTGTCTGGATTCCGCACGTCCGGATGGTCAACCACCGGCCATCACGTTGTCACACACATCATCAACGGCAACGTGGCGGTTCGTGGTTGACCGCCCGGACTTATAGACATCTAGACAGAATATTTTTCTGGACATCACAACAATTCGATTCTAGAAGGGACGGGAAAGCCAACACAACTTATGGATAACACCCTGGGGAAATGAATTGGCAGTAGCGCCACCCAAAATGAATTATAATATACATCTCAGCTCGTAACAGCCATACAATGACCCCAAAATCAATAAATAGAAAATACTTGCAAAGATTGAGATGCCAAAAGTTAAGACCAGAGATCGGTTGAGCCCCAGGAGCCTAACTGGATCCATCATTGCATCCAAAACCAACAAAACCAAAACTCAAGAAATAGCATGATAAACATGCGAATCTAAATTGTTAAAATTTTTCATTTTATTTTTAATTAACAAGATACATGTAATGAGCACAAGATAAATTTTTGGGGGGGCACTTACATACATAGCACACAATTCTCATGTATTTACATATCGCACGCCTAACCTTTTCATATTTACACTTGTACCGCTCAAATCTTTAATATCACATCAAACATAACACTGTTACCGCTCTTTAAAAGTGAAATACATCTTTTCATGCATAAGTTTAAAGCACCAAAGTGCAACGTCCAACGTATGTAAATTTGAAAGTTTAGATGTGAGATATATAAATACATAAGAATTGTGTGCCGCATATGTAAACTTCCATGAAGTTTTTTATTAGCTTGCCGTCGTTTTTCCTGCATTAAAATATTCATTACTGATGCAGATATGAAGAGAGAGATTCTTTTGCCACACAATCCGAGCATTTATGTTTTGGAAAGCTATCGGTAAACCACCGATCAAAGAGAAGGCTTTGTTCCTATTGGAGTTAAACCCCAAGGATCTGCAACCCATGTTGAAACAACAGTATTCTCATTTTACACATATAACAACTGGTCTGAATTTTTTGCCAGCTTAAACTTTTAGAAATTTACACACTTAACCACACAATATCCCCTTTTCTTGTAACTTATAGTGGGGAAGAATTCTGAAGTGGGGCTTAAGAGGATTTTGTCTGGTCTTCTATGATTCTACTTAGCACTATGATTATATATATATCCTGGTCTGTTGGTTGGCATTCTTGGTGTAAGAACCTTCTAGTCGAGGGTTCGAATACACCTCTGGTGATGTGAGCCTTAAAGAGGATGGAGACATGATATGTATATAAGATTTGGAGTTTTATGGAATTTTAAAGGTTCTAATATTGAATAGGTATTGGAATGTCTAGACTAGTATAAATTAGGCTAGTTTGGACAGATTTTGAAGAAGTTTTTAGGAAAGTGGTTTAAAGTTGAGGTAGTTGCCTTACAATTATGGATTTATGATCTGGAGTTGATGGTTAAGTTTGAAGAAGTTAATGTAGGTTTCAAAGGGAAAATAATAAGGCTAGGTTCCGGGCTTGTCTAGCTTAGCCTAAGACTTTTAAGGGGATCTTTAGAGCGGGTTTGAGAGTAGGGTTGAGTAGAGGATGGTATTTTAGAAATCTAAGGGTGTTGAGATGATGTTAATAGGAAGGTACTAAGACTTAAGATAATAACAAAAATAAAAGTAAAGATAGAGCGGGGAAAAGTAACTAATCTCACCAATGAAAAGACACACTTGAAGCTACTAAGCACCCAAAAAAAGAGAGAAAGTTTCACTTAAATTTTCATTTGATAACGGGAATAAATCATTAAATGTCAACTTTATTTATAGGAATTACAATGATAAATAAATCAAAAAATTAAGGAGAAAATTTAAAACGAATGGTAGTTGATCAATAATAATGAAAGATTTCCTAATTTATTATTATTACTATTTTATGACCAATGATACAAATCTTCAAATTGAAAATTCAATTTTTTTTTAAAAATTAAAATTAAAAAAGACCTCTGAATTTAGTGATCTTGAGCTCATTGATTCATTTTATTGAGACGCTTGATTTGACAAAAAAACTATTCAGATTCGGAATTTGTTTGATACTTCACTTAAGCATCGAAACCTTCCCAAAGTGTCTTAAGCGACCTGATTCCAGCCTGAATTGTCTCGAATTTGATCAATTCTTGTGTCAAATGATTTATCTCGTCGAGTCAATCAGTTTAACTATAGGTCCAAATAATTTTTAATTACAGTTTGAACGATTCTTGCCTGAAAATTGCTTCGAAATCCCCGCTGCTCGCCTCAAAATTCCTGCCAAATGATAAACTGTTGAAGACGTGTCAAGAAGTGTATGCAGGAGCTGAGAAAGGTGAAACAATGTTGGTCAGTGTTTGCAATTGAAAATATTTAGGAATTGAGATATATGCATAACAAGGGCAATTTTTGCAAAGGATTTTTTGGCTCATTTCTTCAAATAAATAAATAATGAGAATACTTTCTTAATATATGTATTACGAGAAATAAAGTTAAGATTTTATTTTTTTGCCAAATATAAAAATGATAAATAAGGTAAAAAAAATGATTCAAAGGGACTTGTAGAAAAAAGTAATGATAGTGTATATATATGCATATACACTATCAAGACATCAACCAATTAAGACATCTGACAATCAAGACATCTGCCAATCCTTTATTTAAAGGTAATGCTCGACACCAGGGATTCAGGGCTCGTTCGGGGCAGCTTATAAGTGTGGGGACGTTTTTAAAAGTGCCGCGGTACCGTTTGGATCACGGGTTTTGCTCGCTCATCCAAAAATATTGTTCTATTTTTACACTAAACACAGGTCGCGAGTTGAACCCCGTGATTGACCTGCGGGCCTTATTTCAAGATAAATTATTTATTCTGAAATTCATAAGCTGCCCCAAAATCACCCTGAATCTCATGGCTTAACAATACCTGATATTAGCCCATAATACCTCACAGTTATGACAAAAGTCAAATGGAAGTCAGCAATATAGTCTTTTGATGTCTTGATTGGCTTTTAGTCCGATGGAATGGGAACCGCAGCGAGCGGGGTAAGTTAACTCACCCATGGTGACGACACTTAACGCGGAGAGACCGCGGAGCCGCGAAAGCTCTTCGAAGGCTCCTGCACACGCGCTCCGCGGCAAATTAAAGTCTCGAGTTCTTTTGATCTTCGCCTCCTCAACGACCGAGGTCATCGTCTTTCCAAGTAAGATTCTTTCCTCGAGTTTCTCCTTGATCAGAAGCTTTGATTTGCTTGATTATGGAAGATTTTTGGAATTTGAACGCCCTTTTTTCGATAAAATTTGGAAATCGTTTGATAATTTCAGTCGTTTAATCTTATTGTTTTGCTGTTGTCGCAGAAACGTTCGATTTCATGTCTGTTATACGTGAAAAAGTTTAAATTTTGGGTTCATAAAACCCTAAAAAATTTGGTTTTGATCTTTGCTTGGAAATAAACTTTTTGTTATGTTCATCGGAATAATTTTGTTGGATTTTTGCCCTTTGGGGCTATTTGGTAGCCGGAATTAATCGGGATTACGCAATTCTTAGCATAATTTCTGCCGAAGATCGAGGTCGGCGGATTTGGGATTGCTTCAGAAAGTAGGGGGTTTTTTTTTTGCCTTTCTTTCTTTGGATATTTAAGTTAGATATATAGTAGTGAGCTTAACATTGAAGCTGAATAGCGAGCTTTCTCCCAATAACCTCACTGCTCAGCACTCAATTTTCCTTCTTTTTTTTAATTAATTATCGTTTTAAGCTGGTAAAAATTGTTTTTTTAAAGATATATAAGATCTAAATTACATTTCATCACTAATTAAATGACGTTTTGATTTATTTTAGTCTTTTTTTGCTTGTATTATTGAAACATGATTGTCCCTCATGGTGTTGAAACTTGTATGCCCATGGAGCTCATTTGTTGGCAGCTTCCTTTTGCTCTGCTATGAGGTTGAGTTTGTTGGTGAAGAAAATATGATTTAAGTGATTGTTTTTGGTTTGCAAAGAACATGTTGCATGATAATCCCTGTTTTTGCAGTGTGCCCCTTACCCACCGTCCAACTTTTGCATCTACTATTAATTGTTACACTTTCAGTGATTAATAGAATAAAAGTCTTCAAAATACTCATGGTCTAAAGATTTGTTTATGGCAGTTTTCTTATGAATTTGCTTTTCAGAGCCCTGTTACACTTTCATTTACCCATAATTTCTTGCTGTGTTTTAGAAACTTCTGTGATGAGAAATTTCTCATCTCAAAAATCTATTATAATACAGTAAGCAACAAACAAACAACAACAAAACCTTTATCCCACTAAACAAACAAACACTACATGAATCCTTTTTCTCCATTGCGTCCTATTTAGTGTCATATTTCCATTTAATTCTAATAAATTAATATTATGCCCTAAGTTCACCTCTTCCTTTCTAAACATAAGTCGAATCTAAAACATCTACTCTTTCTATTAGAATATAGTAACTACAAAAAATTGATGTTCAATTTTTTCCAGAAAAAATAATACGCATAGCAGCATTAAAAATATTATTTCTCACAATAGACTACATCTGCCATTACAAAAAGCTATGACTATCCCACTTGTAACCTACATTGTTAATTTGCTTATATCTCACTTCTTATAAAGCTTTGAGATATTAGAGGACTTTCCTTTTGAAGCTGAAAGCTGGTTTGAATGCTTTCAATCACACTCCCATATACTAGCTTCATGACTATAAATTTGCACCATTGTCTATTTCACTTTAAAGCTGAGCCTTATTACTTTCTGTGTGAGTTTGAAATACAGAAAGTCTACTTCCATTTAACATTATAAATTCAGAAATGTTTGATTTCTTGAAAGTTAAGAGTTTATCATTGTCATTTTCATAAACATGAGTTTGTAGGTTGAATAATATTTTCTAAGGAGTTGTTTTTTTATTTTAGTTGGCAGAAGACTTTATGCATAATATATCATTTTTGTTCGGACGCCATTGTGCTACTTTGTCTCTAGTTTTTAATTTCATAAGTGCCGCCAATTACCAGAATAAGAAATCATCAAAGATTTGAATATGAATTCTCTCAGATGTCTCTTTTTGATATAAAGCTCATGATAGTACTTGTTTTCCTTGCAAATTTCCAGGTCCTTTAAATTGATGTTCAATTTTTTCCAGAAAAAATAATACGCATAGCAGCATTAAAAATGTCATATTTCCATTTAATTCTAATAAATTAATATTACGCCCAAGTCTTCCGAGGTCCACCTCTTGTTCACCTCTTCCTTTCTAAACATAAGTCGAATCTAAAACATCTACTCTTTCTATTAGAATATAGTAACTACAAAAAATTGATGTTCAATTTTTTCCAGAAAAAATAATACACACAGCAGCAGCATTAAAAAAATTATTTCTCACAATAGACTACATCTGCCATTACAAAAAGCTATGACTATCCCACTTGTAACCTACATTGTTAATTTGCTTATATCTCACTTCTTATAAAGCTTTGAGATATTAGAGGACTTTCCTTTTGAAGCTGAAAGCTGGTTTGAATGCTTTCAATCACACTCCCATATACTAGCTTCATGACTATAAATTTGCACCATTGTCTATTTCACTTTAAAGCTGAGCCTTATTACTTTCTGTGTGAGTTTGAAATACAGAAAGTCTACTTCCATTTAACATTATAAATTCAGAAATGTTTGATTTCTTGAAAGTTAAGAGTTTATCATTGTCATTTTCATAAACATGAGTTTGTAGGTTGAATAATATTTTCTAAGGAGTTGTTTTTTTATTTTAGTTGGCAGAAGACTTTATGCATAATATATCATTTTTGTTCGGACGCCATTGTGCTACTTTGTCTCTAGTTTTTAATTTCATAAGTGCCGCCAATTACCAGAATAAGAAATCATCAAAGATTTGAATATGAATTCTCTCAGATGTCTCTTTTTGATATAAAGCTTATGATAGTACTTGTTTTCCTTGCAAATTTCCAGGTGCTTTTTTTTTTTTTGCTGAAAAGTATATAGTGGCTATTCGTTTATTTCTGTAATACTATCATTTTCATGAAAGCATACTGATGCTTTGTGTATTTGATTTCTCCAATTGCAGACTTCTGTTAAAATGGAAGCTTTAAAGGCCATTTCTCTACCACCTGGGTTTGGCTTTCATCCCACAGATGTAGAGCTTATATCTCACTATCTTAGGAGGAAAAATCGAGGCTTGAAGATCGACTTTGATGTGATACCAGAGTTGGACATATATAAGCGTGAACCATGGGATTTACCAGGTAATTTTGCTTCCATTTGTCTTTTTTCCATTAGTCTTTTACATTCAAGTGCTCTTTCAAATGCCTATTGTTTCATTTTTTTGTAGCTCATGACTTGGTACTTTTTTCAGCATGTTGTCAGATCCCCACAATGGACAGTAAGTGGCACTTCTTCACCTCTCATGATAAGAAGTATCCAAATGGTTTGCGCTCAAATAGAGCAACCGAAGCTGGCTATTGGAAGTCTACTGGTAAGGATCGGAACATCCGATCTCACAACCAGGTTATTGGGACCAAGAAGACACTAGTTTTTCATGAAGGTCGGCCGCCACGTGGAAAGCGCACAGATTGGATCATGCATGAATACTATATGGATGAAAAAGAGAGCAAAACTAGTTCTCAAATTAAGGTACTCTACTTTGGTGGATTTCTTTGATTGCCTTACTGAACGATGAACCAAGACCATTTGTCTCTTTTTATATAGTGAATCGACATCATCATTCTTTTAAAACAGAAATATTGATGGGAAAAACTTGTTTAATCTTATGCTGATTAATAAGCTACAAATATTATTAAAAGTTGCATCTGATATATAATTCCTTCAACATTGGTACTCTTTTATTTATTCTTCTTCCATGTGTTTCAGGATACCTATGTCCTCTGTCGTATTACGAAAAGAAATGGCTTCGCAGTTGGAGAGAATGTCTCAACCCAGACAGAAGAGGCTGTTTATTTCCAAAATACTGCAAAACATTCGTATGCATCTCTGCAAGAGAGTGTGGCTCAGGATGAATCAAGCCTGTCTGAGAGTACTGAAAACCTGGATGCATGGTTTGAGGAACTCTTTGATCCTGACTTTGATGGATCTATTTGTTTCAACCCTTCTCTTCCCACTATAGTATCAAAGAATGTACCACAGGTATGCCCAACTTCCTACTGAGTCAAATCTTGCAAGTCTGTAGATCTTTAATTTTGCTAACCCTTCATTTCTCCAGGTTTCACAGACAGGCCTTGTGTCTCTGATTCCAAAGGATGAACCCTTGGACTTTGGTTTCCCACCAGAAGAAATAATAGAAATCCTTCATAATGACTTTACCCCCATGCCTAAGATCAAAGAATTAGCGGTGTTAGATCACAATGCAACATTATCCTCAGCCAATTTAAGCAAAATTGCAACTGATAATTTGAAAATGGAACTGTCTGATCTATCTGAAAGCACCAAATTCACTGGAATACAGATAAGAGAGCGTCATGGGATACCTGCTGTTGGAACTTTCCAACACAGAGTCAAGCTTCAAGTTCAAACGAGCAAAATGGAATCAAGGAAGACTGCATATGTGAGCCAAACCATCAAATCTGCACATGTTGACTACAACATCAGTACAAATAGCAAGCCTCACCGGCGCATAAACTTAGAATTAGAGAAGAAAAGAGTATCAATGCAGGATGGAATCAAGGGTATTTTTGCTGTGGTTAGGAGTTTTCTGTGTCTGACAGATGGCTTGGATAGCTTTTTCCTTGGTGTTTGCATGATTGGAACTGCAGCTTTGATCATCTACTATCTGTTTCATGATTTCCTCTTGGGGAGCTTCCCTGCTATTGGGTTGTAGATTACTGTAGTTTTTTGATAAATTGTATCTAGCTGCAGTTAGGTGTGTTGTCTGTTTTATATGATTTCTTGGCAGTTTTTGTACAGTGTAAGAGTATGTTAGTTAGTCTCAATGTCCTCCCAGTTTATTAGTAGGTGAGGGAAATTCAATTTTTGTGATTAAACAATATTAAAGAATACTGTCACTATGATTATGATGAATAAAATTTTATAGATCTTCTTGCATGTGTTCATCTTTTCCATTCCTCAAGTCTTTTTTTCTCTTAGCTCTTTTTTTATTTAAATATTGTTGAAGTTTACTTAGGATCTCATGTTGTAAACTATAAGCACAAACAAACCAAGTGTGTTATGGTGTGAAGTAAGCTATATGTTAATAATTGAACAATTGGATATAATGATAGTAGTTATAGTTGGAACATACTAAGTTTTGATAACTTAATACATCAAATATCAAGCTATACAAAATGTATCAATAAGATATATGATGGTGATAGTAAAGGGTGTTAAGTGTAAGGGAATAAAAATAACAAGTAGATGTTGAAAGACTATTATTTAATTACGACATTGGTTCATTATATAATATTAATTATCAAATTGTCATTGACAAGTTAATCAAACAACTAAATATGTAATTATTTAAATCTAAACTATAAAATAAGGACTCACTTATCTTTATGTGATTCCACTTTCAACTAGTATGCATCCATGTTTTAGCAACCCTTGCTTAAACTTTAGTTCAATCAATAGCTTACCTACACTAAGCAAAAAACATTGGAAATTTTAAATTTTTTAATATAATTTATCACGAGATAATATTATCATTTCTGTAAAGAAAATCTCACACTTTAAAGGCTAAAGACAATTAGTGGGGAGAGTATGAATAACTATATCCCAAAGGATGATCTCTTTTCAATAAACGAGGGACTATAAAATGACAACATAATATATGAAAGAAGCACGAATAGGCTCTAATGGGGTCAAGAGATGGATAAGAAATTTTTGGATAATGCATATATAACTTTAATAAATATTTTATGGATTCATAGTTCCAATTTATCAAACTTCGGGCCTGTTTGGGGCAGTTTATAAGTGCGGTGGAGTTTTTGAAAGCGTCGCGGTACCGTTTAGATCGCACATTTTGCCATCATAGTTCCAATTTATCAAACTTCGGGCCTGTTTGAGGCAGTTTATAAGTGCGGTGGAGTTTTTAAAAGCGTCGCGGTACCGTTTGGATCACGCATTTTGCCTGCTTATCCGAAAACGCGGTTGTATTTTTAAACTAAACCCAGGTCGCAGGCGCTTATCCGAAAATGCGGTTGTATTTTTAAACTAAATGCAGGTCGCGGGTCAAACCCCGCGGTTGACCGCGGGTGGGGGTTCAGGGGAAAAGCTGTTTATCTTGAAACGCACAAGCTGCCCCAAACGCAGCATAAAGATTGTTAATAAATTCAAGCCAAGAATCATTGTCAACAATCAACGTGTTTCAGGATAAGCTGTTTATCTTGAAACGCACCCTTCAAATGTAATTGACCATAAAGATTGTTAATAAATTCAAGCCAGGAATCATTGTCAACAATAACAAATCATATCATACAAGAATATTTGTTAAACTCAAAGTCAAGAAAGTACATTAACTTAGATATTTGTTAAACTCAAAGTCAAGAAAGTACATTTAACTTAGAATTATATGAATCTTTTTAGTAGAATTAAAAAGGATTATAGATCTTATCTTTTTTTAAAATATGAGAGCTAAGCCTACCGAAGGAGAAGAATAAGAATGATTTGACCACTAGTGTCAAACTATTTGGATTGGTTATATAACCTTGCATGGGTTAAAGAATCCAATAAACACATTATGATGCTCTAGGCCACTACGAAAATAAATGAAATCTTGTTTTCGGACAAGTGTAAATTAATCAACTATGCTTTATGGGATACAAATAATACAATGGTATTTATCCTTGATGTGGTGGTTGTGTTATGCTTGTGAACCAACCTTGGATCTATGCTTATTAAGGAATTCTCCCTCATGATATATATAGGAAGCATAATATGCAGCCTATAAATTCTTATTCATAAGAGCTTTTCAAGATCATTTTATTAAAAAAAATGGTGGTCATAGGTCTGAAGAAATAGTTTTTCCTATGGTTGATTTTATGTTTATTTACAAGTTATTATATTTATATAAAACTATTTTATCATAGAAGCTTAATTGTATAAATAACATCTCAAATAAACATAGGCAAAAAAAGAGCTATAAAATCAATCAATACAACAAATAAATACACAATAAAAGAATAAATAATAAATGTTCATTGTAGTTGGATGCTATAATATATCCCAATAAAAAGAAAAGGAAGCAATTACACTTTGAATATATACATCCTGATCCCAAACATGAAAGAATATAAAATTAAAACTAAGGTATGAGACATAAATGAGCTATTTTTGATATTTGTCTCTACATAGTTATGGTCATGTTATTCCATATGTTTTAGGCTCAATTGAATATGAGTTCAACTGCTCAAGGACCACATGAATTTGTGCAAGTATAATCATCTTGATGACTTCAATGATATGTTTATAATACTAGCAAGTATGGGTTACCAAAAAAATATGATTGTTGATTCTAGGTAGTTGACAAAATTTTACATGAGAAGATGTATATTTTTTTCAAACACCTAGATATGATGCCAGCATGTTAGAAAGGTGTGGAGGTTTAGCCCTACAACAAAGCACTAGTATGTTGATGTGGACTATAATACATTGGATAACTCAAGTTCATCAAGTCATGACTCATATGACCTACAATAATTTAAATGCAAATAATGAATGTCATGATGAAACTAAATTACATTTAGTATACAAGAATTGCAGTCAAGAGCTGTCATAAATCTAGCCCATGTTTGTGTCAAGAGATTTTCAACCACATTTAATTGTTCCTGTCTATCAACTTAATTGCAGTTAAGAGTTTCTCATCTCTTTTTCCCTAATTCATTTAGTATGCAAACAGTTCTTCAATGAATCACCAAAAACAGGTCAATTCTAATATGACCTAAATCACTTCTCATACTAACAAGCACTTTACATAGAATAAGTTCAAACAAATCTTATGAATTTAACTAACAACTAGGCTATGGCATCATCCCAAAAGGTGTGGTGTGGAAGATTCTATAATTCTTAAGAACTTCAGTAACAGATATTGATCACATTCAGCTAAACCAACAAGCTATAAGAAACCAGAGCTGATGTTGAACACACTCAGTCTCTTTGGTATCTTGCCCAGAATCCTTTCTTCCTAGTTGTCTCACTTTCGGATGCCGAACGTACAGGCCTTGACCCAATGGAGAAGTGCCTCTTCAGAAATTGCTTACTAGAGGAGCCCTTTCCACTGGAACTGGCTCCCATGATGGGTCTCTTACCACTTCTCCTGCCCATAGAAATAGAATGTCTGGGAGCATCAGGATCTGCATCAGCAACAGCGATTCGTGAGATTTTATTCCTTCCCTTCTGCTCAAATTTCCCAAATTGTTTCAGCTCGGGCCTTTCACCGTTATTTGCACACACCGGGCAAGGCGGATCATACATCTCAATCTCAGATGTGGAGCTCTCCAAGCACTCAGCATGGTAAACATGGCTACAGACTAGAACTGAGACAATAGGAAGATCATTTGTTGAGACTATCTTATGGGTGCTCCATGGAGATTTCTCCTTCAATATCTTTGAGCATATAAAACAAGTTTGCAGATCTGAAGAGCAAGCAGATTTTGGCAGGAAACTGGGACTAAATATCTTGTTAGTGAAAGAGGTGAGGTTTTCACTTTCAAATGACCACCTATCTCTCTGGGAAGAGGCAACAAGTTCTGAAAATGTGCGCATGGACCATCCATCAGAAGAACCGCCATGAGATTCTCCTGCAGAAAGTTCATTGCTAAGAACAAAGGAGTGCCTGCCTACTTCAGGAGAACTACCTTCATTAAGGGACTTGAGAGATGGAATCCTGCTATAGGAGATTTGTCTACAGAGTTGATAACCAGGAGAACGGCGGGCCTTTCTCGAAGAAGTTGGATCAGATGGAATAAAGCGGCTCATCGAGGAGGAAGGATCATCCACCTTGATTGCTAGAGGAGATGAAGAAGGAATAGCAGCTGAGGAATTATTGTAAGAAGCAGTTGGAAAACCAGATGATTTGATAGGGTCCTTTCCCTATTTAAAAGTAGTTGCAGTCAAGTAAGAATTTGTTGGAATCTCAAAGCAGAAAAGTAAAACTAATTGAATTTTCAAGCAGCAAAATGAAAATTAGTCCAGCTCACCTCTGGAGATAAATTGCCTGGTGTGGTTTCATCTGTCACAGCCATGACGTTAACAAGATGTTAGCTTTAATGTAAAAAAAAGATTTATGTGGTGAAGAATGGCAAAGCAGCCAGTTAAAACAGACTAAGAACTCCAACAAAAAAAAAAAAATTTAGAGGGATAAAAAACTATATGGGTACAAAAAAGGAGGTAAATTCTGTCAGTCAGAGGTTTCACCAAAATGCTGCAAATAGTCAAAAACATGGAAGAAAAGAAAAATTACTTCAAGAACTTAAAAACTGAAACTGCCAAGGAATAAATAGTTGTAACGGTACCTAAAAAAGAAATAAAACTAGTATACTATTTGATAAGCTTTCCTCTAGCAGATTTTCTTAATTATTGGTTGCCTCTATCTAGGACAAAAGTAGTTTTAAAAAGTTTGTAAATTAATTGAGAGAAAAAGTTCAATTGCATGTTCAGGTCGCTTTATAGAAATAAACATTCAAGATTTTTGCTTTCTTATCTAATTAATTATTTAATTATTTACATGCTAATTAGCTCTCTTAAATTTAAATTGATTGAATGCTTTAATAATAGCCTTTCTGGTAATTCAATCAATTTAGATAATGCTATGATGTTTTGTTTTTGCCGACGAAACATAAGACACTTTAGACAACAATCTTGATATAATTTTACTCAACAGCTACACACTTTGCTAGACAACATTGCTCACAACACAACATAGGATAGCAACATCAAACAGAAACTAAGATATTAAAAGAGAAAATTCGCATCAATGAAAAAGAGCTCCTTTCATACTATAAAATTATAAAATTTGAAATCCTACTTCTACAGGACTTGCACCAAACAAATGGCTATTCAAAGCAGAGTGAAGCTTGTATTTGCAAGAGTAGCTAAACAAAAGGAGAAACACAGCTTGGTTTGGCCTAAAAACACAGAAGGGAATGCAGCAGAGAATAGGTTACTTGACTCAACAATATTTAAATCATAGATAACAACCATTTTAACGTTTAGGTTTGGCCGATTTTCTTCATTCTTCGACATTCTTGTTATTATCATATTTTGATCTTATATTTACTCCATTACACTTCCTGAATTTTTTTATATTTTAACCACTAATCTTTTTCTTCCAGTGATAACCAAAAAGTTCCTCCATTCCTTTTAAGTTAAGACTGACATTGTAGTCTGCATAGTATTCAAAAAAATTATTTCATCCTTCCATAAGATAAGTTCTTTTTCAATGCTTACTTCAAAACTTCCAAGTTCTCTTCTATATTAAGTGTGTCTTAAGTAAGGCTTAATGAACATGCTTTGCTCATGAAGCATCAAATAAGGTAGAGAATACCCGAGTCCAACGGCAAACCCAAGACAAAACACAAACAAGAGGCCAGAAAATCACTTATCCTCGCATTGATGGTTCTCCACCATTTATGATGAAATCTAATTATTTAATCAAAATTTATATTTGTCAAAAACAAGTAGCAGACCATATTAAAAGAGTCATGATTCATAGCGCATAGCATGGTGCATATGTTAAAAATAGTGTCAATCATTTATAAAATGAATACTTTATTATCTAAGATCAAAAAAAAAATACAAAAGAAAAATCCCCAATCATAATAAAAAAAGTATGATCCATGTTATGTAAACAAAACCAATGATGTTTTCACAAACATGAAGGTTAATGAAAGAATGATATTAAAAAATAAACAATAATGGAAAAAAATAAAGTAAATCTAAAAATAAATCTATTATGGTGCATATGTTAAAAATAGCGTCGATCACTTAGGAAAATGAATCCTTTATTATCAATAAAAAATACAAAAGAAAAATTCCCAATAATAGTTAAAAAAGGATGATCAATGTTATGTAAATAAAACCTATGATGCTTTCACAAACATGAAGGTTAAATGAAAGAATGATATTAAAAAATAAAAAATCATTTCAAAAAAAAAAGTAAATCTAAAAATAAATCCATTATAGTGGTAGCAAATCATATTATTAGAAATAAAAGGCTAAGCTTTGAAGCTTAGCTCAAAACAGAAGAAAATTTATTTATGAATCTCATATTCATAAAAAAAATAAATAAATAATCATCATCACCAAAATAGTTTCTTCCCAATTTTAATCTCCCAATCTTAATGTCTTCATTACCTTTATTAATTTCATGCCCATTAACATATGCTTTATACCTCAAATGAATATTCCTTTTTTCTCCTTTAAAATTATCTCAAATGTTATGGTTTCTTTTCTTAAATATCACTAGACCTCACTATAGAAATCTTCGTAACAAAGCACTAATCAATTATATTCATTTTAACTCATTCAATTTTCTGTTTAGTCGTTCATTATCATCATGTATAACATTCAAATAAGTTGGTTTAATGATGTCATTATTAACGCCTAATAAAAAGGGTCAAAAGAGGGTTGATTCCAAGGTGGCTTTAATGTGCCTTCATCCAACTATAAAAGCCTTTTTTAAGATTGGGATCCACTAAGCTACTCTAAAGCCTCTGGGAAGAATATCATGATGCCCCCTAGATAGTGTAAACCGATTGAATGTCAAAAGAGCAATGAACCTGGACTATCCTATCTTGTTGGCTCCAAAAATTCATGACCACTCCTCAGAAGACTCCACAATTATTTTTATTTTTGTTTTGAGAGAGTTTTAGAAGGCTGAATTTTCACAAGGCGGATTGGATTGTAGATAAGACACTACCCAGAGATTTCGCCCTCATTTTGCGTGGCCTTTTTAATGTGGGGTGGGGTTCGAGGTTTCCCCGTGCCCAAGTCGCCGCGCGCCCTCCCCCCCCCCCCCCCCCCCCCCCCGATAATGGGAGAGCAATTTTTTATTAAGGCTAGTAATAATTGAATATTCAACATATAATAGCAGTAGGCTTAGAATTTAAATTATAGAATTTGCCAATTGAAGCTTAAAGCTAATAGTGGAGGAATGAAGACGAAACACAAATTAAGATCTCATGGTTCCGTCATCTCGGGCCGTCGTGGTCCCTGATCTACTTAGTCAGAGGAGGTAATCGACCCAACCTGATAGAAAATTCTTGTCAACAGCTATGGGTCGCATCGTCCAATAGATCCTTGTAGATCTGAGATGGATGTATGTCTAAGGGGATGAATTTAAATCAAAACTAACTAACAAAAAAATTTATGTCAATCAATTGTACTCTTATGATTCAAAACTCAAATGGTTGAAAACCATTGAGGAACATACAGGTTGCGACTGTGACCATAATATAATGATGTCATTTGGCAGCAACCACCCGATCAGAGGGCTCTAGTCGTAAACGTCATTTTGTGGTGTCATTTGACGGCAAAACCATGCGAACAGAGGACTTGAGCCATATTTTACTGGTATGTAATTACTTTGATTATGCATATAGAAATGCATTTGATATGAAATTCGCTCTTTGTGAGCTAAAGTTATTTAGAAATTTGTCACCCTCGACAAACTATTGCAGAAGACAGATGAATTTTTATCTAAGCTTTTAAGTGATTGAATTTTAACTAGAGTGTTTTAGTTGAATACTTTAAAAGTTTTGATTTAAAAGATTGACATCTCCGGTTGAAATCTTAGATCAACATGACCATTATCGGGAATTTGAACATTTAAAGTATTTATATTTGAAACTGGGAAATTTGGTTTTATTAGTTTAATTTTTTCAAATTATAAGTCATGTCAACTCCTATCTTTATAGGTAGGACGATCAGACAAGCAGATTTGAACTTGTAAATTTTTATCTTTAGAATTTGAATATTTATCTCAAAATTAATAAAGGAGGATCAAACTAGTAGAATGGACCTTGCAACTCTATCTTATAGAAACTTAGAAGAATCCTCTGATAGTTTAATCCATCTTTAATCTCAATTAATTCAAGGTTAATCAAACCTAAAAAAGCCTTTCAAAAGTCAAAGAACACTGGGTTAAATCTTGACCAACCTTATGGATCTAGTTAGTCCACTACAAGGGTTTCAACTGATTGGAGTTGGATAAACCTAAGTTAGCATTATTAAGTTCGCTAACTCAATGTGTTTTAATTGTTGGGTCCTTTGGGTTTCTATAAGGTCGTTGATATTTGATTAGGTGTGGGCAGAGCTTATGAAGCCTAAGAAGTTGACTAATGTGGCTAATTTAGTCTAACCTTATACTCAATTCAACCCATAAGAAGCAAACTGACGCAGGAGCTTTTGGGTTGAACTGATTGGTTCAGTAAGAGCACCGGTCTAATAGGGAGGTTGGACGGGCCAACTTAGGCTAATAAGCATGATCTGCCGCCCCTCCCACTATTTTGCCTATTATAAATATATGTTATTGTTGTTTAGGGTTTAAAATTAATAAAGGAGGATCAAACTAGTAGAATGGACCTTGCAACTCTATCTTATAGAAACTTAGAAGAATCCTCTGATAGTTTAATCCATCTTTAATCTCAATTAATTCAAGGTTAATCAAACCTAAAAAAGCCTTTCAAAAGTCAAAGAACACTGGGTTAAATCTTGACCAACCTTATGGATCTAGTTAGTCCACTACAAGGGTTTCAACTGATTGGAGTTGGATAAACCTAAGCTTAGCATTATTAAGTTCGCTAACTCAATGTGTTTTAATTGTTGGGTCCTTTGGGTTTCTATAAGGTCGTTGATATTTGATTAGGTGTGGGCAGAGCTTATGAAGCCTAAGAAGTTGACTAATGTGGCTAATTTAGTCTAACCTTATACTCAATTCAACCCATAAGAAACAAACTGACGCAGGAGCTTTTGGGTTGAACTGATTGGTTCAGTAAGAGCACCGGTCTAATAGGGAGGTTGGACGGGCCAACTTAGGCTAATAAGCATGATCTGCCGCCCCTCCCACTATTTTGCCTATTATAAATATATGTTATTGTTTTGCTGCACTCTGTTTTCAGATTTTTGCCTCTGCACATTTCTCCCTTCATAGGATTGAATCCAATGACGGAAAGATGCTTCGACTGTAACTCGTCCAATGTGATGTGTATCTTTCCTGTTCTTTCTTGTTGC